GACTGCCAGGAGAACAAACAGGTTTGTCCTGGAGAGGATGAAGCCAGAATGCTGCTTGGAGTCAAGGATTCTAAAGCTTCGTCTGACATACTTTGGGCATGTTGCAAGGAGGGACTGGTCCTTGCAGAGGGACATCATGTTTGGGAAAGTGGAGGGATGGCGCAGGAAAGGACGACCCTCGATGAGATGGATCGATTCTGTGAGTGGTGGGAATGAGTGTGTTTGAAACGGCGAGTCTGGCACAGGATAGAACAGCATTTAGGGCTCTTGTACACAGGGTCACTATGAGTCGCAAGCAACTTGATGGCACATAACAATAACATATGTATGTGAAGATTGGAAATAAGAAGAAATGCTTCTGCATTATGATGTTGGTGAAACATACTGAACTAACAAAATAAGCAAATCTGTCTCAGAGGAAGTAGATCTTAGAGGCCATGCTCCTTAGAAACAAAAAAGGAGAAACTACATCTCACATAACCTTGAACATGTCAAATGTCCAAACGGGCATAAGTCAAAGAGGAAAAGACGCTCAACTAGATGGACTGACACATTGACTGCAATAGCAGCTGTGAGCACTGTGGAGATGATGATGATGATGATGATAGCGTAGAACAGGCGAAGGTTTTGAGCTGTTCACAGGGTCACTGAGTCAACCTAACAATTCTTTGAAATATCAAAGCAAACACTATCTTATTAAAACTAAAGATGGAGAGGTAAGACTAAAAACCAGATTCACATTATTAGTTTCCATTAAGCATCAAATGACAATTTGAAAACAAATCTAGCTTTCACCTGGGCCTCTGAGAAAAGAGCTCCAATCTGTCATTTTGGAGGAGCATGCTTTTCTGACATTTCAAACACAGTTTCTTCAAATTTAATTTCTAAACTTTTCCTTCTGCAGTGAAATTCCTTCTTTTCTATGGCCTTTTACATTGATCCTTTAATTGCGTGAGATTTTTTTGCTCAAACTTTTGCCCTAGTTTTCTACCTCAGGAGGTTTGTTAAATTTCTTGGAAAGCAGTAAACATCTTGATTTGACTGGTATTGGATGCTGCCTCTGTAATTATTAAGCACCCTACAGGGTGTGGCAATATGTTATGTAAGTGGCGTGACTACTGTTGTTATTAGGTATCAACCTATAGCGAACATATCCTGCCCAATCCTCATCATCACTATATACTCTAGGGCATTATTAGTCACATTGTCAACCGATTTTGTTGAAGGTTTTCCCCTTTCACCAACTCTCCACCTTTCCCAGCATGGTGTCTTTTCCCTAGCATTGGCTACGCACATGCCAGCAAACTATATAAGACACATCATTGGCTCAAAAGAACACCCAGATTACACTTCTTCCAAGACATTTTGTTCTTTTAATAGTCAAAAATATATTCTGTATTCTTCTCCAACACAATTAAAAAACATCAATTTGTCTTTTGTTATCCTTCTTCACTGTCCAAATATCAGATGCACAGGAAGTAACTGAAAAGGCTGTGGCGTGGATTAAGTGTATCTTGTTGTTGTTGTTGTCGTCGTTATGTGCCATTGAATCACTTGCGACTCATAGCAACCCTACGTACAACAGCCCTAAACTCTGTCCTGTGCCAATCACACTGTCTTTGACACTCACATCCCAATTACCCCAGTCATTGAATCAATCCACCTCATAGAGGGCCTTCCCCTCCTGCGCTGTCCCTCTACCCTCCCAAACATGATGTCCCTCTCCAAGGACCGGTCTCTCCTTACAAAATGTCCAAAGCATGTTAGTTAGAGCCTAAAATTACATCCTTGCTGGTGCAACCACCGTGGAAGGCGATGTCGCGCTTTCTCAAAAAGTTGCAGAGATACTGCTTGACCCAGCAATTCCACTACTAGGAATATACCCCAAAGAGACCATAATTGCCACCCAAGCAGATATATACATACCCATGTTTATCGCTGCTTTGTTCACATTTGGAAGGAGTTGGAAACAACAAAGTGCCCATCAACAAACAATGTATAGAGAAGCTGTGGTATATTCACACAATGGAATACTATGCTGCATTGCAAAACAAGGAACTCATGCAATATTATTCAAAATGGGTGACCCTGGAGGACAATATACTGAGTGAACTATCTCAGCCAACAAGGGACAAATAGCACCACTGTTGTAAAATGGGACTGACACCGGGACTGGGGGGAGACTGAGAAAGATGGGATGAAGAATGCCATTGAAACAGATGATATGTGATTAGTTATCATTGTCATGATAGGAGTTCAGAACGAAGACTGCATAGTGGAGTGAACCTGGGGGGAGGGATTATAAAGCAATGAAAGAATTTTTCTTTTATTTTTCCAAGAGGGTAGTGTACTATGGGAGAAGGCTGGGAGGGGAGAAAAGTACAACAATGAATGAATGGAAATCCAAAGTCTCTGTAAATTTTCATTAAAATTAATTTAAAAAATGATTTTTAAAAAAATTACATCCTTGCTCTTTAGAACTTTATGGAGAGGTCTTTGACAATATAACATGTCTTCTGATTTCATGATTGCTCTTGTCATAGATATTATGGAGCCAAATGAAACCACTTGCAACTTCAATCTTCTCTCCATCTGTCATAATATTGTCTATTGATCCAGTGGTAAAGAGGTTTGTTTTCTTGATGTTGAGATGCAATCCAGATTGGCAATCCAGATTGAAGACTGTAGTCTTTGATCTTCAGCAGCAAATGTTTAAAGTCTTCTTTATGCAAGCAAACTTGTGTCCAGTGGTGAGAATCTTTGTCTTCTTGACACTGAGCCTCAATCCATACTGAAGGCTGCACTCTTTGAAAATCTTATTGAAGGTTATCTAAAACCCAACTAGAACAGTACAGGGACAGAATTTTCAGAAGTTCAAGATGGACTCAGAAGAGGCTTTGGTACTAGGCATATCATTGGCTGATGATTGTCTGATAAAACTTGGCTGAAAGCTGACAATACCAGAAGGATGTTTACTTGTACTTTTTTGACTATGCAAAAGTGCTTGGCTATATGGGTCATAACCACTTACTGCTAACACTAAGAAGAATGGGAATTTCAGAACACTTAATTGTGCTTATACAAAGCCTAAACATACAACAAGATAATGTTATGTGACTAGAACAAGAGGGCATTGTGTGGTTTAAAATCAGGAAACATTCAAGTTAGGATTGTATTCTTCCTCCTTAATAACAGTGGTCAAGACCTGAGAAGACTTTGGACATATTGTTAGGAGGGGCCAGTCTCTGGAAAAGGTCCTCATGTTGGAAGTGTGATGGGTCAGCAAAAGAGAGGAAAACCCTCAGGGTGGTGGACTGATAAAGTGACTTTAACAATCGGCTAACGTATACGCACTTGACGTAGTGGAGAGGAGTCTACGTGAAGAGTTTCTCGGCGTGACTGAGCGACTTGGTACAATGAAAGGCCTCTACACTGTCTGTGTTGTCCTTTTGGTGTTGGGGAGCTTCTCTGAAGCAAAGTTTGATGACTTTGAGGATGAAGACGACTTAGTGGAGTATGATGATAATGACTGCCGAATTTGAGGATGTCATGGAAGATTCTGCTACTCAGTCTCCTCAGCGGGTGATAACCACTGAGGATGATGAGGAGGAGACCACTGTGGAAATGGAAGGGCAGGATGAAAACCAGGAAGAAGATTTTGAAGATACAGACACCCAGGAGGGGGACACTGAGAATGAGCCATATGACGATGAAGAATTTGAAGGCTATGAAGACAAACCAGATATCACTTCCAGCAAAAATAAAGACCCAATAACAATTGTCGATGTGCCTGCACACCTCCAGAACAGCTGGGAGAGTTATTATCTAGAAATTTTGATGGTGACTGGCCTTTCTTGCCTATATCATGAATTATATCATTGGGAAGAACAAAAGTAGTCGTCTTGCCCAGGCCTGGTTTAACACTCACAGAGAGCTGTTGGAGAACAACTTTACTCTAGTAGGAGATGATGGAACTAACAAAGAACCCACAAGCACAGGAAAGCTGAACCAGGAGAATGAGCACATCTACAACCTGCGGTGTTCTGGCCGAGTGTGCTGTGAAGGCATGCTGATCCAGCTGAGGTTCCTGAAGAGACAAGACTTGCTGAATGTCCTGGCCAGAATGATGAGGCCTGTTAGTGATCAAGTGCAAATAAAGGTAACCATGAATGATGAAGACATGGATACCTATGTGTCTGCTGTTGGCACACGGAAGGCCTTGGTGCGACTGCAGAAAGAGATGCAAGATGTGAGTGAGTTTTGCAGTGATAAACCTAAGTCTGGGGCAAAGTATGGGCTACCTGACTCCATGGCCATCTTGTCAGAGATGGGAGAAGTCACCGAGGGGATGATGGATTCAAAGATGGTTCATTTTCTTACACACT